TTGACGGGATTAGTCTCCGCTGAGGCAGGAACAATAGACACAAGTTCTATTAATACTTAATTAATTGCTTTATATTATATTTTATTTTGTTGTATTCTTTTAAATCACTTATTTAGTTTATTTGTTTTTCTTATCATTTTTATCTTTATTATTTCTTTACCTTGTAACTTATTAAAAATACTTCATTTATTTATTTCATTTATGAATATTTGATATTCTTTATTCATCTTTTCTATAATCTCATCTCTTCTTTCTATATTTTCACTTAATGTTATTGCTTTATTATACCATTCTTTTGCTCTTCTATTATCTTGTTTATATCTACTTTTATTTCCTTTATTCCAACTAATTCCCATTAACCACTCAATTTCTTTTTTCGGGTATATTCCATCTGTGCTTTTAATCATTGTTATTGCTTTATCTATCATATCAAGTATTTCTTCATCCTCACTTTCATTTATTATTTCTCGAATAATTCGTGATAATCTAACTCCATCAACTTCATTTCTTTTACATATCATTGACATACCACTCTTTAAACATTTGATTCCATATGTTTTATATCCATTTTCAATACAACTCATCCCAACCATTTCAAGTACTGAACTATTTGTTCCTGTTCTAAGTAATTTTGTAATTGCTTCATCTATTCCTTCTTCTTTGATAATACATATTTTCACTTCAACTGTGATTATTGTTGTTTCAAGTTTTTCAATTGAATTTGTTGTGTTAATTCCTTTTCTTCTTATTTCTTCAAGACACTTTTTTGCTTCTTCTTTCATTTCTTCTACTTCATTAATCACATCTTTTCCTATTCCTTCTACTCCACTTGATGCACCCAATAAACAAATCATTATTCGATTCTCATACATTTCTTCATATTCTTTATTAGTTTTACTTAGAATATCATATAAATAACAACAATATAAACATTCTTCATGTAATTTTCTACTATAACTTTCTTTACTTCTATTATTTAAATATGCTAAACACCATTCTATTTCTGCTTTTTCATCTCCAATGACTTCTTCTTTATTCTCTTTGACCATTTTAATGAATCTTTTAATGATATCAACTTCACATCTGTTCTTCATTATTTGTCGAAATACAATAATTCCTGTTCCTTTCATACTTTCTCCTGGAAGACATTCAAATAGTTTTCTCAAACATTCATCTTCTATTTCTTTTTCTTTCATTTCTTCACAAATAGTACAACATGTTTCAAGAAATTCAATTTTATGTTGATTTGAACTATTCTTATTAATTGCTTTCTCAATAACATCTTTTCCTTCATTTTTCATATGTAAATGAATATATGATGAAAATAAAATAAAATCAGCTTGAAGATCATTACATCCACTTTCTATTGCTTCTTGTGCCCTTTTCATTGCTTCATGATAATTATTCATTTGATATTCACAAATACTGATATTTTTATTTATTTCTCCAATTTCATCATTACATCGACTAATTTCCATAATCTCTCTTACTTTCTTAAACCATTCTTTTCCTGTTCGTTCATTCTTATTTAAACAATCATTGATTCCTCTTTCCCATATAATAGATATAATTGAATAAATTTCTTTCTCTATAATTTCAATTTTATTGTTTTGGATACTATCTATTAGATTATCAATAACATTTTGTGCTGTTACCATATTAATTCTTTTCATTTTAAATAAGAATTCAATATACTTTTTGTTGACTTTGTAATATGTTCTTGTTTCTATGTTTTCTTTTCTCATTATGCTTGTCATAATACTTTCATACCCAAACATTATTATTTCACTCATTCCTTTCTCTTCAATAATATCGCACATTTTTATTTTTCCATCATTACTAATATTTCCCATTGTAATATTTCTTTTGAATACTTGAATAATTTCATCATCTTCTCTTGTTTTAATCATACATTTAAGTCTAATTATCTCATTTTCTTCATTACTTTCTTCTTCAATACTTTTCTCAATAGTCTTCATTGCTTCTTCATTCATTCCAAGTTCAAGATAACTTCTACTAATAATTGAAAATGCTTCACTATTATGTTCTTTCTTATTTCCTTTCATCATAAGATATTCTTTCATCCAATCAATTGTTCCTTGATATGCTCCTATTTCAAATAATTCTTTTGCTTTCTTAAATATCATTGTTTTAATTTCTTCATTACTTTCATCTAAACTTTCAATAATCTCTTTGAGTTTATGATAATATATCCATGCTGTTTCAATTTCTCCATTATTCCATGATGAAATCATTCCTAATGTAAATAAATATTTTCCACATCTTTTTCTTTCTATTTGTTGTGTATTCGTGTTAATAGTTCGTTCTGTTTCATTGTATTTATCAATTGCTTTTCTATACATCTTCTTTGATTTCTCAATTTCTCCTTTCTCTTCTTTACATTTCGCTGTTTTCCCAATCATTTTAATGAGTGTAAAGTCATTTTCTACTTGATATTTCTCTACTAATAAACATGCTAATTCTCTCATTTCACTTTGTTTAGTTATATCACACTGTTTTCTAACTACAAAATTCCATAGTTCATTTCCTTCTTGTCGAAGTTCTTTGAGTGTATTTTCATCAGTTTGTTTAATATCAATACTTTCAATATGTATTCGAAGTTCTTTGATTGTTTCTTCATCAACTGTTTGATGAAGTCTTCCAATGATCTCTTTAATTTCATTCATTATGTTTTGTTATTTCTTTCATCTTATTTATTTTCTCTTTCTCTTTCATCTTCTTATCACTTTCTATTCTTTTTTTCTTTTTGTTTATTAAAATATCTCTTTCTAACTTTTCATTTGTTTTTTATTACTACATTTTATTTTCTACCCTTTCATTTCATTTTTGATTTATTGTCGTTGTCATCATTTCTTACTCGTACTGTTAAAATTTTATGCTGTTTAATAATAAACACAATGATAGAAAATACATATAAGATATAAATAATTTATTTAATGACATCCAATTTATTCAATACTCTCATTATTTATCATGTTATTATCATTAGCATTTCTTTCATTTGTTTCTAATGCCAATTAGTCATTATTAAGTAACATATTGATATGCAACGATGATTATATTAATTCACAGTAATAGATTAAAACTCAATTAGAAAAACAAGTAAGAAAAAATAAATAATAAATATAGAATGATTAAAAAAGAAGAATAAATGAATAAATACTCAAATTTAATGGATATTTTCCACTTTTATTTAATTTTATATCATTCAATTTTATTTTTAATAAAAATAGAAGAGAATATAATATAAATCTTAAAAATATTTTAAGTTCAAATAAAATAAGAATTGAAAATAACAATAAAAAACAATAAATCAAGAATGAGAATAGGATATAATGAAATAATGATAATGTCAATGTATTTTGATGACATTAATGATTTTATTAATTTAGAAATGGGTGTCAAAAGATTTTAAAGGCATATAGAATGGTTTCATTTTAATCCATTCCTTTAAATTATTATTTAAGAAAGTTCTTTCCTAATATTGAAACATTTCATATTCACTATGAAAATAATAACATATTTAATGATAGAAGAATGTTTAAAGAAATATTTTGATATAAAATAAACTTTTCAACGTACTTGAAAGAAAAAGAACTAGGAAATATATATATATATATATAATATACACAGAATTGGATAGAGAAGGGTATGAAAATATAATACCACAAGAAGTCAAATCAATTGGACACAGATGTTTTGAGTATTGTTTTGAATTAACATCAATCACAATACCAACCTCAATTACTAAAATATGAAATAAATGTTTTTATAGTGCACATCATTGACACTAATTATTATTCCATCACTAGTTAGTGAAATAGAAATGAACGTTTTTATGAATATATATCATACAATCAAATTATATACCATATTAATCAGTGAAATTGGATTTGATGTTTTTATTGATGCAATGAAATGGTAAGAGTCTTAAAAATACCTAAATATTGTTTTGTAATTGATGAAAAATTCAACGAAGAAGATTTATTAGATGAAGTGGTATGTTTTAGAGTAGAAATAACAA